GTGAAAATTCCACGTATGGATTTGGGGTTGCATATTGTTGTGACTTTAATATTTGTGAGATGGACTTTTCTTCCCCCCTCTTCCAGACAGGATTCCTGTGACTAGCCACTGTAATTCTGCTTTAGTGCCGGTTTTCTTTCCATCACTCGAGAATGTCAGCAACGCTAGCGAATCTCCAAGCAGGTGATGTTATATCACACCTAAAACTTAGGCTTGGCCGAAATCTGAAGTCCACAAGATGAATTACAGACTTAAGTGAAAGCCGTTAGGTACTTAACAGCACAAAAATTTTCCATTACAAATACTGTTTTTCCTCTTTCTTAATTAAAAAAAAAAAAAAATGCCCTGAGGGGGGCTTTGGATTTCCAAGCCTTCCAGATCAAAGATTTCTTCAGCCCTCTGAATTATAGGAATGTTAAAAACAAAAACAAATCCTTTTCCTGCTATAAAATCCTTGCCATGTTTTTGTCTTTATGTAACTCAAAACGGCTGAACTAAAATATGAGGCTGGTGAGTTCTGTTCAAAACCTAAAAACTCATCCGAAATGGAGTAGTTAAAAGTTTTGAAAGTGTCATTCTAATCAGTCTGTCCCAAGAATAAATTTTACTAGAATTTATCTTATTTGATGATCCTCGAAATTGCAAAATAGCACTTAGAATAAAACAACGTATGGCTAAGGATACCGCAATGTTTTCAACTGTTGGTTAAAGTGATTCGGGATCAAAATTTTAATAATTTGGGCACGGTGGTGGTGATGGCCAGTATAATTTTCCTCTGAGTCTGTATACGCCCTTGGCTACTATGTTTCCTTTTCACCGCACGGTCGCCAAAAGAGTGAACTGTTAGTTTCAAAAGCTTTTGCAGAAAGTAGAGGCTTTTTGTAAAGCAGTAGTTTAGAGTTGTGAGTCTGCCGACGGTTTTGGTATAAGGCGCAACTCTGAGCCTACAAGAAAGAAACAGCTTTGAACAGGGTGTGTGTTGTGAGCTTATCAGCCGCCTGGCATATAGCACCTTGCCTGACAATTTACTACCTGGGCGATAAGTGGTCTCAGAATTTCAGCACTTTGAAAATGAACTCCTTTTTGCTTTGTCACTAGAGAGATGTCTATGATTATGCTCATGCTAATAAAAGCACTACAGGGCGAACTCTGTGCTCCTGTGCATGGAGACATCAGTGGCTCATGTGCCCTCTGACATGAGACTTAAGGCACTTCATATATCTAACAGGTATTTGTTGCCAATTTCCTGACATGTTACCTTAAAAAACTTTTTTTAAATAGTCTTTTTTGGGGGTACCTGGGTGGCTCAGTTGGATAGGCCGGCTCCAGATTTCAGCTCAGGTCATGGTCCCAGGGTTGTGGGATCGAGCCCCACGTCGGGCTCCACGCTGAGTGCAGAGCCTGCTTGGGATTCTCTACCTCCCTCTCCCTCTCCCTCTGCCCCTCTCCCCAGCTTGTACTCTCTAAAATAAAATAATTTTTTTAAAAAATGAAAAAATAGATTATTTCTAATTATTAGAAATGTATCTTAGAGAAAAATTGGGAGACCAAAAAGGTAAAAAAAAAAAAAAAAACCAAACCATAAACATAAAAGAGTTTAAAAATCCCACCATTTTATTTTCTTCATGTCAATTTATATGTTGTTGCATTTGCTTTATGAGAATGCATTTACATACTTGAGATCAAGCTGCATCCAAAATTTCTACTTTTTTCTCAAAAACAACCATTTTCTCATTTTTCTCTAAGTTTTGTATCATCGTCTTAATGAACACATGTTCTTCTGTTACGGGACATATATTTTATAACCATTCTGGGACAGTCAAGTGGCTTCCAGGATTTTGGGATCATAAATAAGCCTGCAGTTCACATCCTTTTTTTTTTTTTTTTTCATAAACTCTATGAGTTTGGGGCTCAAACTCAAAACCTTGAGGTCGAGTCGCATGCTCTACCCAACGAGCCAGCCATGCACCCCTGCAATTCACACCTTTGTACTTAAAACTATTCGATATTGCTGTGTTAGACAAAGATGTTAGCTTCCAAGTCACAAGCAATCAATTTGCCCTGGCTTAAGCAAAAAAGGAAATGTATTAGCTCTCATAGCTAAAAAGCTAGGGGTGGAGATGGGCTTCAGGCATGGCGGGACTCAGGGGCTCGATGGTGTCTTCCGGAATACATCTTTCCGTTTCCTGGATCCGCTTCCCTCTGTGTCAGTTTCTCAGCCTTGCTCCTGTACAGTCTCTGAGAGGAAAGACTGCCACTCTTTCCCAATATTTCCACTGGGAGTCCCACGATTGAGACTCATTACCATGACTTGGGTCAAACACCTTTCCCTGAGCCAGTCATGGGGCCCAGGGTGAAGGAATGTCTGGTTAGCCTTCAGGACATCCCCGCTCCCTCTTCCACCTCACCCCCTGCCACCCTCACTCTGCACACCCGGACTCTGATGTTTCTTGAAGCCACCAGCCTGACCGTCAGCCAGGCCCAGTGCCTCACACACTCTTCCCTCTGTGTCCCCCGGGCTTGCTGCCCCCTCACTTCCTTCAGCCTACACTCAGGACTTCCCGGACCACCTCACCTCTTCAGTCTGTCCTCTCTCTGTGCTATTGCTCTCCAGAGACTTACACCTACCTGATGTCCTGCTATATATTCATGTGGCAAATGTCTGAATTATTTGTCTTCTTTCATGGGAACCACTAGGCTGTCACTGTGAGCAGCTCTACCCAGCCCTCAATAAATACCTGTCAAGTGAGCTAATAAATGAGTTTGGCATGCCATGGATATACCCGTCCGTAGGGTCAGCCTCCCCTACTGATACGAAATACTTGCAGCAGTGGTGTGATTCCCCAAAGAAAATGGGCAGCCATGCCCAGATGGCAGGGAGAACTGGGTGCTGGACCAACCAAACACCGGGGCCCATGACCATTTCATGCTCTTTCAAAAGCAAAGTGCCAGGAATAGGACTTAAAATACGGATGTGAATGCTTTGAGTTTCTTTTTTTTTCTTCTGATTTGTAAAAATGTTTATTTTGAGAGAGAGCACAAGCAGGGGAGGGGCAGAGAGAGAGAGAGGGGGAGACACAGAATCCGAAGCAGGCCCCAGGT